ATTCATCAAGATCATCATCATTATCATTATCGTTCAATTGATGATAAACGCAATCACTATCTTTATCATTTATATTATTGTTTCCTGTTGTTATTTACCATTTTAAGTTCATAAAGAAAGCGAAAAAAAAATAAATGATAGAATCTGGATATTCTTTAACAGTATTTTTTTCTTTACAGATAAAGTAAACAAGATACTGACAAACACGAATCACTTGAGCAGAAAAGGAAACTGAAGAAATAAAAGAAAAGGAGAAAAGAAAAAGAGTGAAAGAAGAAGAAGACAGCAAAGGAGAAGAGGAGGAAGAAGACGACGTAAAAGAACAGGGATAATGAGAAAGAGAAGAGTAAGACGCAGATAGATTAAAAGAAGTAATTACGGAAGAAGGAGAAGAGAAGGAGAGATAGAAGTAATCGGAGAAGCAGTAAGTGAAGGAGCCGGAGAAAGGAGAGAAGAAGGAGAAGAAGAGGGTAAATCAAGAAATATTAAAGACAAATATTAAAAAAGACAAAATCAAATAGTAGAGAAATAGAAGGAAAGAAAGAAAACATAAATAGATCGAAATAAAAACGTAGAGAAAGAGAAGGAAAAGATAGAAAGATAGATTGACCGAAAAAAAAAACGTAGAGAAAGAGAAGAAAAGGAGGAAAAGATAAACAGATAAACAGCCAGACAAACAGAGAAAGACAGACAGAGACAAACACCACCACCACATCGCAGCATCGCCTCCACCATGACCAAAAATGGCATCGCGAAGCACATTCCCGACCGGAACAAGGAAGGGATCGTCAACATCGCTTTTACGGACGACACGCTCACCACCAAGCCCGGAACCGGCGACACACTCACCGTAGAGGTCGGGAAGGTCAGCCGCAGGAGCTCTACGGTGGTGGTGGAGAGCGTGGTGGTGGAGAGCGTGCCGGCGGCGAAAGGCGGCGAGGAGACACCGGCGTATGGGACGCAGGTACGGGCGGCGTGGGCGGGATTTTTGTTATTTATTTGTTTATTTGTTTATTCTTTAATTATTGTTTTCATTAGTGGGTCGCAGGAATGGGCGGCGTGGGCGGGATTTTTGTTATTTATTTATTTATTTTTTATTTTCTGATTATTATTTTCATTGCTGGGACGCAGGTATGGGCGGCGTGGGCTGGATTTTTTTTGAAGATTATTATTTTTATGACTGGGACGCAGGTAGGGGCGGCGTGGGCGGGATTCTTTATTATTATTATTATTTTAGGATTTTGTTATTTTATTTGTTTATTTTATACTTTAATTATTGTTTTCATTAGTGGGTCGCACGAATGGGCGGCGTGGGTTGGATTTTTTTTGAAGATTATTATTTTTATGACTGGACGCAGGAAGGGGCGGCGTGGGCGGGATTTTTAAAAAATATCATTTATTTATTATTATTTTAGGATTATTATTTTCATTCCTAGGACGCAGGCATGGGCGGCGTGGGATGGATTTTTTTTTTTTAATGATTATTTTCATTTCTAGGACGCAGGCATGGGCGGCGTGGGCTGGCGTATGTCTGTTGTTTTTGTTATGACAGTTATTATTGTTTTAATTTTGTTAGGACTATTGTTATTATTTTCATTTTGTTAGAACTATTGTTATTATCAGTTGTTAGAACTTCATTTATTGTTATTATTTTCATTTTTTAGTTATGACTATTATTATTTCATTTTGTTAGAACTATTATCATTATTTTCATTTTGTTAGAACTATTGTTATTATTTTTCATTTTGTTAGAACTATTATTATTTTCATTGTTAGAACTATTTATTTTTCATTTTGATAGAACTATTATATTATTTTTCATTTTGTTAGAACTATTTTCATTTTTAGAACTTTTATCATTTTTCATTTTGTTATTATTTTCATTTTGTTAGAACTACTTCATTTTATCATTTTTTCATTTTGTTAGAACTATTATTATTTTCATTCTGTTAGAACTATTCTATTATTTTCATTTTGATAGAACTATTATCATTATTTTCATTTTTGTTAGAACTATTGTTATTATTTTCATTTTGTTAGAACTATTGTTATTATTTTCATTTTGTTAGAACTATTATCATTATTTTCATTTTGTTAGAACTATTGTTATTATTTTCATTTTGTTAGAACTATTATCATTATTTTCATTTAGTTAGAACTATTGTTATTATTTTCAATTTGTTAGAACTATTGTTATTATTTTCATTTTGTTAGATTGTTATTATTTTCATTTTTTAGACTATTATATTATTTTCATTTTGTTAGAACTATCATTATTTTCATTTTGTTAGAATTTTTTTAATAGAACTATTATCATTATTTCATTTTGTTAGAACTATTGTTATTATTTTCATTTTTTAGATATTCACTATTATTTTCATTTTGTTAGAACTATCATTATTTTCATTTGTTAGAACTATTAATCATTTTCATTTTTAGAACTATTATCATTATTTCATTTTGTTAGAACTATTGTTATTTATTTTCATTTTGTTAGAACTATTATCATTATTTTCATTTTGTTAGAACTATTGTTTTTATTTTCATTTGTTAGAACTATCATTATTTCATTTAGTTAGAACTATTATATCATTTTCATTTTTAATAGAACTATTTTCATTATTTTCATTTTTTAGAACTATTGTTTATTATTTTCATTTTGTTAGAACTATTATCATTATTTTCATTTTGTTAGAACTATTGTTTTTATTTTCATTTTGTTAGAACTATTATCATTATTTTTCATTTGTTTTCATTATTTTCATTTTGTTAGAACTATTATCATTATTTTAATCTTAGAACTATCTTTATTTTCATAATTGGGGCGTAGGTAAGGAGACCATGGGTCGGTTTGTTGTTTTTGAGATAACAATTGTTATTATCTTCATTATTAGGATACAGGTAGGGAGAGCATGGGTTGGGGTTTGTTTGTTGTGTTTGTTATAACAACTATTATTAGTAATAATAATAGCTGTAGTTGTAGTTGTTTTCGTAGTAGTAATAGCACCATTCTTATTATTTTTGCCATCATAATCATTATTAATTATGATGGAAATAGGAATGATGTTAGTGATAATAATCATTATCATCATCATTTTCATTATCATTATCAATAATTTTTATATTATTGCTATCATTACACGAACTCGAAAAAAAATCAAATTTCGAATGTTTCAGCTGCAAAATATCACAATAAGTGATATATAACATTTTCTTTTTTTTTCCAAAGAGAAAAAAAAGACGAAGAAAGACGTTCGATGCTTTAACAACCGCAAAAAAGGAAGTATCAATCCTATGACATCTTTCACAGCTTCTTGGCATGGCGGTGGCAGCGTTGGCATACGTGGGCATTGGCACCATTAGCGGCTTCTCGGGGGGGATGCTGCCCCTGCTCACCGAGTCGGATGATGATCTGCATCTGGACAAATATCGCGTCGGACTCTTCAGTAAGTTGTAGCTTTTTCTACTTTTGTGTTCGATGTTTATATATTTTTTTTCTTAGATTTTTTTCCCTTTATTTTCTGTGTTTTTTTTTTTTTTTTTTTTTGGGGGGGAGGATCTCTTTGGTGTCTGTTTTTCTCTTTCTCGTTCTTACTTCCTCTCTCCTTCTCTCTCTCTCTCTCTCCTTCTCTCTTTCTCTCTCATTCTCTTTTCATTCTTATCTCTTATCACTATATCATTCTCTTCCTCTCTCTCAAATCCCTCCCTCCTTTCTCTCACTTCTCTCCAACTCCCTTTTCACTCGCCTCTTTCTCTCCCCCTACTCCCTTTCTTCATAACCCGAGCCCTGTTATCAGCTGACTGGGACTGCGCATTTAGTCCCGAACGAAGTCCCATCGCCATGCATTTATTCAAACAGACTTTCGCATTGTCAATTCACTCTATTGCCCGTGTGTAGTACGGCCGGTCGCTGTGAATGCAAAGGAGTTGTTCGGAGCCGTGTACTATCCCTTAGGTTCACTTGTAGAGTCTTAGCATGTAGGCCTGTGTGTATGTCGTAGGTTTTGTGTAGAGGATACAGCCTCTTTAAAAGATTGTGAGGTGTAGGGTGTTCATAGAATGGCTGGAGATGCGTCGTGGTTTAGTTTTAAGGGCGTGCCTCTCCGATGGCTGTTTGTGTATTCTGGTGACGAGGGGTTGCTATATTGTCCTGATTTAATTAGAGTTGTAGTGTTATTGACGTCATTTTCCTGATTTATATGTTCAGTGTGAAATGATGGTGAAAGGTAGCCTATTTCAAAAGACTAGGTTTGAATTTTGATGAGTTTTTAAGGAAATTTATGTTCTGCAAGCATTAACGCTTATTCTCATCTCTTCATTACAAAATGTTTCGTCCCGCCCCACAGCGAGTGTGATAAACCTCGGCGCCGCCGCCGGCTGCATTGTGGGCGGCTTCCCCCACGTGATGGTGGGCCACCGCTCGTACCTGCTGGTGGCGCTGCCGCTCGCGCTGGCGGCCTGGATCATCCTGGCGCTCTCCAACGACATCTGGGTGTTGCTCTCCGCCCGCACCTTCCTGGGCTTCACCATGGGCGTCATCGTGTTCACGTCGAGCAAGTACGTGGCGGAGTGCGCCCACGACAGCGTCCGGGAGAAGCTGGTCAACGCCCTCGAGACCTCGCGCCAGTTCGGCTACCTCTTCGTGTACGCCGCGTGCTGCTCGGACCTCAGCTGGCGCGAGCTGGCCCTCGTCTGCGGCTGCGTCAGCACCATCCTGCCCTTCGTCGGCTTCCTGTACGTGCCGAGCGCGCCCAAGTGGCTGGCCACGCACGGCCGCGTCGACCACGCCTACGAATCGCTCGTGTTCTTCCGCGGACCCAACTACGACTCGCGGCGGGAGCTCAACACCATCCTGGACAAGCTCTCCAAGACCGAGGGCGCCGACAACGCCCTGTACCAGCTGCGGCAGCTCAAGGACCCGATCATCCTGCGCTTCGTGGTGCTCTTCGCCTTCATCCACTTCGCCAGCCAGTTCAACGGCAACGTGGTCACGGGCGCCTACGCCATCTACATCTTCAAGGCCGCCAACGTGAGCATCATCAGCCCCTACATGAGCATGGTGGTGGTGGGGCTGGCGCGCGTCCTGTCCACGCTCTTCTACCTGGTGGAGGTGGAGCGCGTCGGCAGGAAGCCCCTGGTCATCGTGCCCTTCTTCCTGGCGGGGACGAGCCTGCTGGTCCTCGGCGCCTTCTTCTACGCGCAGGCGACGGGCGGGGCCTTCGGCGAGCAGGAGTGGGTCCCCGTCACCGCCCTCTCGCTCTTCTCCTTCTTCTCCAACATCGGCTTCCCCGTCCTCAACCTGACGCGCGGCGAGCTGCTCCCGCCCGTCGCGCGCTCCACCGGCGGCGCCATCCTCTACGCCACCTACTACTTCGGCGGCTTCGCGGCCTCGCTCTCCTTCTCCTACATCGTCTCCGCCATCGGCATGCACGGCACCTTCTGGATCTACTGCTTCATCAACATCCTCGTCGTCGTCGTGGACTACATGGACCTCCCCGAGACCCGCGGGCGGTCGCTCGAGGAGATCATGGAGGAGCAGCGGCTCGAGGGGGCGTCGCCCTCGCACCACGACCACGCCTCCTGATGGGCGGGGCAGCAAGGGGCGGACCCGCTGGGAGGGTCGCGCCCGTGCGGTGGTCGAGGCGTGACGCGGTGGTGAGGGACGGCGGTTCGGGCGCCGGTTATGCGCATTAGCAGTATCTACTATCTGTCTCTATTTCTGTTATTATTATAATTATTATCATTATTATTATTATTATTATTATTATTATCATCATTGTTATTATTATTATTATTATTATTATTATCATTATTACTATTATTATTATTATTATTATTATTATTGTTGTTATTATTACTACTACTACTATAATGGTCGTTGTTATTACTCTTATTCTTTTTACTATCATCATTATTATTATTATTATCACTTTATTATCTTTGCTATTATTATTCTCATTATCATTATTGTCATTATTATTGTTATGATCATTATGATTATGATTATCATGATTATCATGGTAATGATAATGATATCATTATTTTTGTCATTATTATTATTATTATCATTATTGTTATTGTTATAATTTATTGTTATTATCATTCTTATTATTATCTTTATTATTATTATTACTATTATTATTATTATTATTATTATTATTATATTATTATATTATATTATTATTATTATCATCATTATTATTATTGCTATTATTATTATTATTATTATCTTTATCATTGTCAATATAGTCGTTATCATTATTATTATTATTATCATTATTATTATTATTATTATTATTATTATTATTATCATTATTGCTGTTATTATTTATCTTCATCATTATGTTATTTCTATTATTATCATTACCTTTATATCATCATTCTTGTTATTTGTGTAATTATCTTCATGATCTTTATTACCCTGATTATTACTATTATTAGTATTATCATTATGATTATCTTTATGATTAACGTAATTCTCTTTATTATGAATATCTATATCAATATTCCGTTTAAGATAATACAACTATTACCAGAGTCATAACTGCCGGCAGAAAGACTTAATACCATATTTTATTTACTAATTGTGATAGTGTCTGTTAATTCACTAATTTCTTCGGTTGATTCACTAGGGTGCCTTCTCTCACTTGCTCAACCGTGCAATAGCGTCGTATGCGAATCTTCATTAAGGTTCAGATTTTATGGGGGAGAGAGAGAGAGAGAGAAAAAAAAGGAAATATATATGTATGATAATAATAAAGGTCTAACTCGTGAATTGAATTATGAATAAAGGTAGATTAGCGAATTGTTGTTTTTCTTTTTTGTTCTTTTTTTTCTTAATATTTCCTATTTTGTGTTGTAGGCTTGGTTGCTTATATATATATATATATATATATATATATATATATATATATATATATATATATATATATATATATATATAATCAAAATGACAGGAAAACAAAAACAAACTGACAACCTACTTTTGACTTTTCATTCTTATGAACAGACAGTTAATCCCTTAAAGTTTTGGATATTTTGAAAATTCATACAAGATATTGCTCTTGCTTTGCCATAATATTACTTTCTTTCAATATATATTTTTTAAAATTATTATTCTAATGTACTATTATCATAGTTTTCTCTCGACACATACGGGAGTTCTCCAATCAAAAAACATTGAAAATACCACGGTTTATTAAGGATGCATTTGAGAGATACAGCTATATCCTACATGGCCTGAAAAGACCGATGTCAATATACAGGCCACGTATATCAGAATTTAGTGATATGTCTATGTGTATCCAAAACATCTTTATTGTGGGACAGTCACCCCTATAAATAGAAAAAAAATGTAATTACGTTCCACTGATCTGAAAAGATGTATCTAAAGTATTGAAAAACAGGATGATATACTGTTGATGAAGAAAAAAACAAAAAAAAAAACAAAACAAAACAAAACAAACAGAAAAAAAAACAATGCAATTTGACCGACATATTTCTTTATACGTATTTAGCTCACGTCGACGGAATGCCATAGACATGACGAAATGGAATGTACTTTCACAACTCTACACCTTATGCCTCTGTTTCGCGTAGCCTTGCATCAACAGCTGCCTCGTCATTCCTTATTGATATGTGCAGTTGCCTGTTTGTTGATTCGCAGGTTGCAGATTGTGTACCATGTAGTTTTCTGATTGATATTTTAAAATCTGTCCTCAACGCTTTTAAGACGGGGACAGAATACGGTTTCCTTATTGGCTAGTATGTTGATGCTGTCTTAGGACGGTATGTTGTATGTAGTATGTTGATACTGTCTTATGTGGATGAGTGGATGAGATTCAGGGTTGGATTGGAGTTTTGGTGGATTACGATGTGGATGGACTTGGGCTCAAAAAAGAAAGGAAAAAAAAAAAACGTGATAAATATAATGGATATTTAAGAATACAGTAGATAGGGGTTTTATTTGAATTCTTTGAGTGCAGTGGAAATTTAAGAGTATAGTAGGTACTAATTGATATTTTACAGAGGATAAGGAAAGTAATAGAAAATAATCCTTAGTGTAAAGGACTTTCGTAAACATATCTCTTTTTTCACACAGTATGAACAGAATTTAAATAATGATGCTTGGTTATGTAAGACATCTTAACGACCTTTCTTTTGACCCCGACGTGCACTTAAGGTTGATAGTTACATGACATCACCTTCTGTGTACAGTATATCGATCTGAATGTCTTTCACTTACACACACACACACACACACACACACACACACACACACACACACACACACACACACACACACACACACACACATATATATATATATATATATATATATATATATATATATATATATATATATATATATATATATAGGATTATACATATATGCACACACACACACACACATATATATATATATATATATATATATATATATATATATATATATATATATATATATATATATATATATATATATATATATATATATATATATATATATATATATATATATATATATATATATATATATATATATATATATATATATATATATATATATATATATATATATATATATATATATATATATATATATATATATATATATATATATATATATATATATATATATATATATATATATATATATATATATATAATGTATGCATGCATTTAACCGGAAAGAAATACATGCACCAGAGAAAACACAGAGCAAATACACATCAGACGTGAGCTGCCGAATGACCCGCCGACCGTGACCTGACCCTCGTTTCGCGTATTTGCTGCGGCGACCTTGGATAATCTGAATCTACCCGCTGCGGTGGCTGGATTTATCTCCGTCGCGATGTATGCAGCTTCCATGATTTTTCTTTGTTGTCTGTTCAGTTTTCCATGGATAACTTTGGGTTCCTTTCAGTTCGGTAGATGTCCAGCTTCGTCTACCTACACCACCATGGCGTTGAATGTCCTGTGGTGATCCTGGTGTTGAAATCACGCCCCGTTTCACCAAATTATGCTTAGATTTTCAGTGTAATGCCAAATTATGGTTATCTGGCTGTTAGGGTTGTTTGAGGGCTGTTTTCTGACTCGTATTATGCAATGTATCTCTTCACCAGATTTTCACCGTACTGCCAAATACCTGCCGATCTGCTGGGAAATAATACATGATGGTAATCTGAGAAAATTAGACGAGGATGCAGGGTCTGATGTTGTGTGTTCTCCGCCATCTTTCTGAGGTTTAGTAAGAAGCTTCTGGGATATTTAAGTTTTATGAAAGAATTCCAAGGACAACCTCAGCCTCAAGAAATTCAGGGCTGCAGATCCTCGGTGTTCTGAGTAAAAAAGCAATCACAACCCCACATTTTGTTTTATTATTGTAGGCGGAGTAGTTGTGGATATAATCGTCTTTATCAGTTGACTTTCTTTATACAGAGAAACGTAGGCCGTTGTACAGTGATCCCAAGCACCAGTTTCATGGCCTCTGGTGATTTGCGATTGTTAACCATACTTTTGTGCTTCCATCGTTATGTATGATTACTATTACTCCATTTCCATGAAAAAGTAGATGCAAACTTAATATAGGATATAATAGAAACCCTAGTTTCATTGGGGAAAAAATATTCAGTTTATACATCTTGATATATACTGTTTATCAGGGTACAGTATCCTACCCTTAAAAAATGATTTTGAAGCTTACATAACAGAAACAAAAACAAAAAACTTTCAAGTGATGAACACTACATGAAATATCAGCTATTTCCGAGAGAATGCATAAAATTCAAATTACGTACATTATACAGTAACGTATATCGTATTGGCATTAAGAGTGAAATAATCATACAGCATTTAGCAATAGTAATATTGCGAGAGCAAAAAAAAACAACAAACATGTCAAAGATTATATGAAGTCATCGTCCTCTTCCTCCTCCTCATTATCTTCATGCTCATCGTCATCATCATCATCTGAATGAGTGCTCGTCTGCCTGTACTCCTCAACCTTTGGCTCACCAAGTAGCGACCTAATGTCTGGGGATAATGAATTATATTTTCTGATGGATCTTGGCTTCTGGCAAGTAGCTACCATTGAGTCGGATGTTGCAAGTTACCAGTGAATCAGATAATTGTTTACTAGATTCCTCGATAATTTGCAGGTGTGATATAATCTGGCAGAGCGCAAATCTTTATGTCTAGGTTCTATGCCCTCTCCCGAAGCGTGCCCTACTGGTATGCATCCTGTCTCGATGATATGCGACCCATGAATAAGCATGGTAAGCGTTTCGCGCCTAGAGACAACTGACGTGAGTACATCTCTGGTTTTGTTTGTTTAATGAGGAACAACTGAGATCAGACGAGGAAAATGAAGTTAGCAGAAGCAGCAATCAGAATTGAGGCTCTTGAAGCCAAGGTTGACAACCTGGTAGCAGAATGCCTCAAAATGCGTGAAGAGAATGTGAATCTGAAGGAATTGGTAGAAAACCTGCGTAGAAAGACAACAATTCAGAGAGAAAATATGGAAAAATTTGACCTGAAAGTTAAAGAACTAAAGCAAAAGTTAGAAGAAGCTGAAACCAAAATTGGCAACGGTAGTGAAACTGAAGCAAAAAATCTTCAGGAAAAAGTTGAGGAGGTCATTAAAGTCCAAGAAACTGTCAAACAGATTGAAAGTAATTTGTCAAACAGCCAAGCTCAAATAATGGAAGAAGCCAAGAAGATGACAGCTACATATGCAGTTGTATCAAAAGTAAACGAAACCGTGAATGAAATGAAAAAAAAAGATAGAAAAAGACATCAAGACCACAAAGGAGGAAATCAAAACACAG